TATATCAAGGATAAATTTTATGATCATCTAATTTACTTTTAATGATAGTACTATTTTTTGGAAATTTTATATTCGTAGCTTATCTTTAAATAATTTTACTAATTTTTAACAGTTATTCTTAAGATATTTATCTCAAATTGTAAATATATTTTTCCTTTTAATTTATTTTATTATAAATAAATAAAAATATGAATTTCTTAAGAGATTTATTTTTTTTACATTTCTTTTTATAATACAAGAGATTTGTTCTCACAAACACAAATGATTATCTTCTGCCTCAAGAAAATGACTCTCAATGGTCATTTTTTTCACGGGGTGTGGAGGTGCTTTAAATTGCAAGGCAATACATTCTTTCCTTTGAACAGTTAATTTTTCATACATGATTTCTTTAGGATTGAAAAATATTGCCATAGAACTTAAATTTTCAATAAATTGATTTTTACCTTCCAGAGAAGTATCTTTCGATAATTCATAAAATGAAAAACTTTTAAATTTAATTTAATTCTTAGAAATTTAATATATAATAAAAAGAGAGAATACACTTATTACATGTAAAAATGCCTTCTTCTATATTAATAATATGTTTTTAGTAGATATTTAGTGGAATTGAACACCAAACAAAAGAAAATGTTATTATAAAAAAACAAGATCATGTTGTTTTGAGAGTAAGAAATTTCTTATGAAGCTTGATTTAAATTCGTATATTAAAATTATTAAATTTTTTACGTAGGCATTAGTGGATATAAATTTATGCAGAGTACTACAAAACTTTCAATCAACGGGGATTACCTTGGTCCAACAATCTTCTAATATTTATCATATCAGAGGGAATAAGATTATGCAAAATTTCTTTTATCTCTACGCTTAAGCTTAGTTTGTGAATAGATCTGGTTTAATTTATTACTTACTTTTTAAACACAAAATTCTTCTGATATAAAGTTTCAATGTTCAAAAAAATTTTTTCACTGAACCTAAACAGACCCTAGTTTCGAAGTGGATGTAAGAAAGATAAAAAAAATGGTCTCTCAAATCTGAAAGCTCTTTCGGAATGACAATACGATAGAGAGGAACATGCCTCTTGCCCGTTTTGCAAATTATAATATTATGTAGGAGAAATTCTACAAATTGAGCAATAAATTAATGGATAAATATTGGAGAACACCTAAAAGGTTTTTCCCTATACCACTCAATATAACATATTGTTAAGACATATGGAATTGATTAACCCATGTGATATCTCATTTCATGACTGAAATATAAGGGTAAGGCTCTTAGAGCATACTATCTGATAAATATGATAGCAGTACGTTATCTTTACAGCATGAATGACTTGGTTAGCGATCGTAGAACGGACGGGAACTACTCTGGGAGGACAAGAAGGGTTTGCGGAGAGGGAGAGGGATAGGACATTTTGAACTTCTCAAAGAGTTCACTGATTAAGGAATGAGAAAATAGTAAAGGATCAATTGGGTTTATAGTGGAGTAAACATCTCGAACTGAAAGGATTCGATGTTGAAAAAATAAAAAACAGAGGATTCCCGCCATGAAAAAGATCTTTGTTAGTATGCAGTAAAAAAAAAACCTTTTGGTGCAAGGCTTCGGCAATATGATTATTGATAAAGGAGGATTTACTAGGGTGTGTTAAAACATGTGATTCGAGTGGACTAACCGGGTCGGTTATTTCGGTCGAAGTCCGGAACTATGAGCGACCTGGCATTATTCTCGTCAGTCAACACCGACCCACTCGCCGTATTCGATTGTTTTATTGTTGTTTAAACCGCGTGTTAGGCTTTGTCGGCCCGAACGGCGGGGACCACATATAGAATGACCCTGAGAAAAAAGTTGATCTAAAAATTTGATAGTAATTTTGTGGGAGGGTGCCTACAAAAATTGACGGTGGCATCTTCCCAATTTTTAGTCAAAATAGTAAAAACGGGTTCAATCTCAAGGGTTATCCGGAGTTAAATTAGTGAGTTTTCGTATTGCAAGGTAAGTTCGGTGTGCAGTTACTCAAGTTTGCTGAGGAGAAATCAACACGATACCTGCCACAGAGATCTAAAACGTTGGTTTGTTATTATTGTCAATCTTAAGCCCGAATCGCCAACCCGTTATACACGATATGGAGTGTGCACCCTAGCCTTACGTTGAAATCCGAAGGTCATTAATTCCGAGGGGTCGGATTATTTGGGAAGGATCGATGTTGATAATTCTGCAGTTGACGGGAAGCCTAATTTATATAACTAATTCGAGCTGACAAAAGTATTGCTGAAAGTCGATTTCCGTAAACAATAATAATGGTAGTTAGGACTTGATTTAACCCGGATTTTCCCGGGTCTGTGGCCAAAATTAACACGGCATTCATCCTCAATATATAATCATATTCAGCAAGAACAAATGTTGACCGTTAAAATCGATTCGAACGGCATATTTCACGCGTTGCAATTTGGATTCTGGTCAAATTATTTTCTGTCAATAACCCACGTGTTTTCCGGCCCCCGCAAATCTCTTCGCTTTCTGCCCGATCCTAACCTAGATTATTACTTGGCAAACATTACAATTATTATTATTATTTTTTACGTAAAGCGTAACAAGAGCTTTAGAATATTAAATGATTACTTCTAAAGGGAAAATCAATATAGAATATATCTGGCTCATTTTCCTTCTGGGGTATTAATTATAATGAAATGAAATCCATTATAGAAGTTTCAGCAAACAGTCAAAACAAAAATTTATTCTGTTTTTAGGTTTCTTATTTTTGAGGGGGGAAGGGTAAATTATAATAATTTCAAATATGATGTACATTCTTCAAGATATCTATTCAAATTAATTTAATAACATATTTTTTAATCTCTGTATGATATAAATTAACTCAAGAAAAAATAATTTTTTTTTAGAAACTAAATTATGATAGAATAGCATATAAAAGTGATAATTATGGTAGATAATATAACCTTAATAACGGGTAATTAGTTGCTATTATTATGAATTTTATATAATAAATATAAAACATCAATTATATTCTTTATATTGAAAAACCTTATAAATACACTTTTTCTATGGTAATTAATTAAATATTTAGATTATTAGAAGTTTTACACTAAATTCAATACTAAATCCTAAAATCAATACTTCCTACCTTAAAAAGTGAAGGGTAGCAATAGAAATTGATGCAATAAGTTTAGACCTACAATTTTCAAATAGTTTGAGGGCTCCACGATGCATCGAAGCAATGCTCATAATATTACTTGCCCACGTCAAACGTATTTAATTACAGAGCTAAAACAAAGAGAAGTATTCTATAGAACATGTCGGCTGAATTAAATGAACAAGCACTTTCTATGGCTGTTGGTTCATAAATAACTCCCTTTGGTAGGGAAAAAATCATGGTATGCATTAGAGAAATTAATAGAAGTTCGTTCAACATTAACAATCCAATGAAGCAAAAATATACGAAAAGACGAGGTAGTATGACACGGCTCACCTTGGTCCATTGGAAAAAATTATTACGTGCGGTATTCGGAGGCTAAATCCGAACCGCGTGACGCACGCAATGCATCAGTGTTTGGATGACGTGGCGTGTCCGGATGCCTCCGGACGCTTCGGCACACCCCACAGAATAATCTCTCGATCTATCTGGGTGGAGCTTTGGCGCACCAAAGCTATTGGGAGGTGCTATAGATTTCGAGGGTCATTGCGTATCGTGATGTCGTGTTTTGAGTTTGCCTTAATTGACCAAATGTCGTCAAAGACAAAAACACTACAAAGTGACTATAGTATGAAGAACATCTGTTTACCTTTCTGGTAGATCCTATGCCATTCATAATCTGGCGATCGTCAGATTTGTAGGTTTCCATAGATTCAAGAAAAAGACCACTAGAATTGATGTCAAGTCCACAAGCAGAAATAGGGTCAAGGTGATAGACCTGTATGCACATTAGTACTAACTCTACTTTGATTTTATATACAAAAAAAATTAAAAAGGCAAAGTTGTTCTATAATTGGTTTAAACTATAACTCAATTTACCAAAAAAGAAAGATGGCATATCTGTTTTTCTCGAAAGGAAGTAACATTACTTCATGAAATGAAGAGAGCTAGTGCAAAGGCAGTTTACTTAGAATTGTAATGGTCGTATGGGTGGCTACGCCCCATGTAGCTGCAATAGGAGAATAATATATATATATATATATATATTTGCAAACAAGAGATGTGTATATTCCTAGATTTTAATTCTGCAAAATAGTTAAATTTAGAGCACAAATTGTAGTAAAATTATAATTATTTTTTTTATATAGATATTTAAAAAAATAATTTTATTTAGCAATTAATTCATTTCTCCAAGAAGAATTTATACATATTTTTTCCCTTATTAATAGACAAAAATGAATAAAAAACACTCCAATTTATGAACTTGAATCCAAGCAGTCCCTAATCCCAATCATTATACATCTTTAGCCCTCCAAACTCTCTCTCTCTCTCTCTCTCTCTCTCTCTCTCTCATTCTTAGTGAAAATTCTACCTTTGCAAGCAAGGGTTAGATTCCTCATCTATCTTTCCTTGTGAATACCATTCATTTTCTCATAAACATACAAAAAACCTTTATATGATAGAGATTGGTCTAATAATATAGTTAGGTTAGGAGCTACTTATTGATGATATTAATGATGATGATGAAAAAGATATCGTTGTGTCACAATCATCTTCGAGATCATCCAAAGCCCAAAACTCATCATCCTCTTCCTCCTCAGTCATCCTCCATTGCTCTGTCGATATCTTAGCTTTTTCGATGAGTTCAAGTACCTGTTATCATCCAATTTATAAAGTCCTATAAGTTGATAGAGCTTAAGGGGTTATTTGATCTCAAGATAACAGACTAATTGCTCTCTCAAATCAAGCGAAAGATGCAATAGCACACCATCACTAACATATTTCATTTTGTTTTTGTAAAAAGCTAATTTGCATAATTTATACAAGTGGTTGCTTCTTATAATAAGGATGAACTAAAGGAGTAAATTAAGAAATGAGTAAAGGTCATGGAAAGCTACATATCACCAACTCATACATCCAAATTAGTCCAACTCATGAACTAAATCATTTTGCACCAGAAAGTGAAATTTACTAATAAAATATTTAGCTTATTGAGCAGCATCTTCTTCCCCCACAAAAGCCATATAAAATTGGCCAAATTAAAGTTCAGTCTGCTTCAAATCAGTCTCAATAAAAAATACTTTATAATTACAACAAAATGAATAAGCTGAAAGAAACTTCAGCTTCGTTTGTAAAATGGAGTTTTAGTATAAAAATTAAAATTTTGTACTAAAATTCTATTTTAAGACGCAATAAAAAAGCCGTCCCAAACGAAGTTGTACTAAAAAGCTTGACATACCTCTTTTAGTAGTTTTCTGCTTCGTTTGGGATGACTTTCTGCTTCTTAAAGCAACTTTTTAATACAAAATTAGAAATTTTTGTACTAAAAAGCTGCTTTAAGAAGCAATAAAAAGGCCGTTCCAAATGAAGACTTAATGTTAAAAAAATGAAAAATTTTAGTAGTTTTCTATGAAATTTCTTGACATACCTCTTTCATGGAAGGGCGCAATGTTGCATCTAATCTGATACAGAGTGAAGCTGTAAAAGTAAGTCTCTTCAGCTGATCAATGTCATAATCTTCTCCTAATCTTGGATCTACTAACATTTCTATTTTTCCTTCCTTTAAGTATGGTTTAGCCTGTGATAAATTTAGACTTTATAAGTTACAAAAATCATGAAATTATTTCTAAATGATATTTTCATATCCAAATTTAGATTATATCTACCCAGCTAAGCAAACTCTTGTGTGATCCATCCACTGGCTTTCTTCCTGAGATGATTTCCAGTAGAAAAACACCAAATGCAAAGACATCAGTCTTTTCATCAACAATCCCATGTGTGAAGTACTCAGGAGCCAAACATCTAAACAGAATAGATCATTATGATTTCATACTGTATGAAGCTCAAAATCCTATAGAATGTTTTCTTTACAGATTACAAACCCAAATGTGCCTTCGATCGGCGCTACGGCTCGGTGGCTCCACTCTGATGGAAGCCATCTTGCAAGCCCAAAGTCTGAAATCTGCAAAAAAAAAAATAAAATTCATTTTGTGAGCTAACATTAGTAATGTAATGAGCATGTTAGGCCGGTTCACCCTGAACCGGCCCAAGGGCTGGCTCAAATGTATTATAGGAGGCGGAAGCAGTCTGCCTCCTATTGCCTTGCCCTCCCACTTGGAGGGCCCCACTAGTCCACTTAAGTTCAAATTGAAAAGGAGGGGGTGGTTTGAGCTTGAGAGGAAAATTAGATTAGGTAAGTTTTTGTATTAAAGAGCATGAGATGTTTAGAGAGGGATTATGTTTTGATTTGTTCTCAATTAGGATTTCTTGGTGGCTTGGGCTCTAGACTCTCTTGTCTAGAGATTTGGGAGAGATGATCCTCCTCTTGAATTGAGGATCAATTGTATCTTGCTTTGAGTTCTGCTTTGGTTGATTCTACTATCGCAATCTATCGTTTCTAGATTGATTCGTCTAGTTTTTCTTGTTTTTCTTGCTGTTTTGGACCAATTATTGCTAGAATTGCTTGAGAACTCAAGCAAACTCAAGTATTTTCTATGAGAGCACAAGTGAGTTATAAGTATGTTGTTGAAATGTTATACCAGAGGCTCAAAATTGGCTGACAGCAAAACATTTGATGTTTTGATATCTCTATGAATGATTCTTCTCTGGCAATCCTTCTGCAGATAATGGAGTCCTCGAGCTGTTCCGACGGCGATCTTTCGCCGGAGTTTCCATCCCATTAGTTCTGAATTTTCACCTGAAACACAAACTAGAAGCTAAAATTTGATACTTCAGATCAAATGAGTAGAATTTTGATTACTGGAACAGTTTCTTACCATGGAGATTAGATGAAACTGAACCCTGAGAAGAGAAATCAAATATGAGATGAAGATTTTGATCTGTGCTGAAACCAAAGAGAGGAATCACATTAGGATGATTGACATGGCCAATAACACCAAGCTCTGTCAAGAATTCTTTCTCCTTCTGCTCATCAGTTGAAGCTCTCGTTAATCTCTTTACAGCAACAACTTGGCCACTCTCAAGCTCTCCTTTGTAAACTTCTGCATACCCTCCACTTCCAACCAAATTATCTGAAGCAACTTCGTATTAGAAAATCAAAAAGAAAAGATGAAATAAAGGTGTTAGATTAACCTTGATGAAAGCCATTGGTTGCTTTGTGGATCTCCTCGTAAGAAAAGAATCTCCAATTAGGCTTTTGAACTGGCTTGAACGCTGGCTCTGTTTGGCCAGAATTGCTTTCTCCATCAACAAAAGAGCTATTCCTCTCTGCATATTTCATCTTGAAGGGAGATGAGAAGATGCATTTGAAGCTTCTGCCTTTCAGATTCCATTTTTTCATTCTTTCTGAAGACTTGATCACTGTGAGACTTGTAAGTCTTTTGTTGTGACAGAAATCAAGAGTTTTGGAGAGAAAACAATGGAGTGGCTTTAGAGGAATCAAGCAACCATAGGTAGAAGAAAGGGAAGAATCATTTCAAGGCATTTATAAAGGGATCATGAAGTGTGAGGCAAGTGGCTAAAATAAGAATTCGACAGACTAATTTGATTTTGGAAGTTTGACATGGTCATGAAATCAAACAAAAATTGGGGAAAGAAAGGGAAAGGCTGTCACTATCCTTGCATCTCAAGAAAGGAAACTGAGTTAGAGGGGTAATTTCTTTGAAGTTAGTCAGAAAAACAGTTTAGGTAGTTAATATTAAGCCGTAGTTTGGGACAGGTTTCTTTCTGCTTCTTAAAGCAGCTTTTTAGTACAATACAAAATTAAAAAAATTTGTACTAGAAAATTGCTTTAAGCAGCATAAAGAAAACCGTCCCAAATGAAGCCTAACTCTTAATTTAAATTAATAATTCTCACATGTGAATCTTTTTAATAAATAAATGGACCATATTAGGCCCTTCAAAATCTTTCTCCCTCGAAAATAATATTTTGAAATTCGAACAATTTGAATTGATTCTATTTGATCCATGCTTAAATAAGCCAAATTGGTTCAACCAACTTGCATGCTGGTTCGAAATCGTCAAATAAACCTCGAATTTCTCGAACTAGGCCGAAGTAGACGAGACGGGCTCAATCTGGGTTGGTTTAATCTTCTTTTTCAAGTGTGGGCTTGCTTTTGATTGCTTAACTAAAACCTCTATGATCTACCTTATCAAGTGTCCTTTATTTGGGGTGTTCCTCATTGATTAAGTTGTTAATTAAGGTAAGTTTTAATAAATCTCTAATCACCATTCATTCTACAATATGCCAAATGGATTTCAACAGTTAATGATTTTTCAGATTTTAACAAACCTCTTATGCAAATTAACACAGGAAGATTTACTGGTTAATGAATAATGATGATCCATACAGAGGAAAATTATAAGTCATCATGCTTGTTTAAGCTCTATTGTACAAGAAATTATCTTGTTCGAACATCAGATGCAGTTCTATGTCCGGATGCTGCGGTCCGAGCGGTACCGAGCAGCGGTACAGCTAAAGGATAACGTGGTGCATTTTTATTGGCCTCCGGACGACTTTCGGTGTCCGCACAGAATAACTTTTCCTAATCATGTACAAGGGATAGGTTTGAACCCCTTTAACTAGATGGACATGAAAATGGATGTACAACTTAAAGAGGCTAGGTTTTGGTACTGTTCATATTAAAGACTGAAGGCTTGGTGGATGGCCCAACTGATGGGCAAATTATTATGTTCGGTGTTCGGATTTGTCCGGATACCAATCCAGACATATCACGTCATCAAAATACACCGGGTCCCAGTGTATTTGGGTGACGTGACACGTCTGGATTGGATGTCGGGACGTCCGGTGACCGGACGTAATAATTCGCCCAACTGATGGGCATGTGATGACCTCGATAAATGTATGATGAAAAATAGACGAGGAGTGTATCTAATAATGTATCCTATATAATTAATTCTTTAACATATTATTTTATTTAAATTAATATCAATACAAAATATTGTTTAGATTATAAAAATTTTGGTCCAAAAACTATATTAATATGATTGATAAGTAGTCAAAAATCAACTTGATTAGGCTAAATCTTTAATAATTTTCATTTCGTTTGACGAGTTAATGTCAAGAAAGGCTAAAATTATAATTGAGAAGATTTTATTAAATTTATGTTTTTGGGTGGAGGTTCACATCAAGGGAATAATTGCGTTATAGAGTTTTTTTTAACTATAATTTTAAGCTGTAAACTTTTTAAATGATTTGTTGTGGGCCAGAATATTCGTGACGGTGAAGTGGAAAAAACTATACTGCTAAGCGTTGCACGAGTATCAAGCTTATACATAAACACCAAATTTTTTTTACATGGAAATCCTGAAGAGAAAAATCACGGGGTTTCGTCAGTCAAAATTGATCCACTATTATTTGAATAAATTACAAATAATTGACGTGTCCTCAAACTTGTGGGCAATCATATTACGCTAGTCAACCAACATGTAGCGACAAATAGGAATCAGATGAAAATTTGGCGACGATCAGTGGTCAGATATAAATCCGACGTCAATTGGCAGTCGAGTTAAAGTGCGGCAGCAGTCATTGGCAAGGAAAAAATCTGCCATCACTTGGCAGCCAAGCAAAAGTCCGACAACGTTCGGTGGTCTGAGAGTGGTCAATGAGGAGTTTGATGACAAGAGAACTCTAGCGATGTATAATCCTGCACAAAAGAGCAAACAACAGTGGAAACAAGCAAAAGCTAAGGCAGTATAACTTCTTTGTATTGAGATCAAAAAACTAAAAACTTCTTCTGTAGAGTTTGCTGTATGTAAACCTTGGCAAAAGCAACCTATGCCAAAAATAAGCTAACTAGTAAAAAGTAACTATTGTAGTCTAAAATTAGGTAAGTAATGGCATGAAAAGCTAAGTGTGAGTATGCTCTAACTAACAGAATATGTGTATGATGTGGTAACTCTCGGTCCATGATATAATGCGGATGCTCCGCATCATCTAGTTTTTTTCTATTCCTTCTCTTTTTTTTTTCTTTTTTGCTTGGGTTCCCCTCAATGAAGAATGATGGGTCTATTTATAATTTTTTGGAATGGCATGGTCAGTAAATAGGAGGGAGATAAAGGGTGTATTCAGAGTGGTTTGAATGGACAGAAGATATTAATCCCCTTGATCATGGACCATTTATGGGGCATCTGAATGTCTTAATGATATCAGAATTTGTCGATCTTGGGCTTGTTTGATTTGTCTCATCTAACTGCTCGATTTGACTATAAGCATGTCATGTTTGAAAATTGTTTGGTAATCCAAATTATGAATTGAACCTTTCAAATGCACTTCGGTCTTTGATTTGGACCTATTTGAGCTTGGATTGGATTAGATTTGATGTCGTTGAGTTCGTATTTTTGAGACCTTTAGTTCAACTATAAGTTTGCTGAAATCGGAGTTCATATGGTTTCCGATTTAATTTTTGAAATTTCCAACTTAATTTTGCATCAAGATTTGTGTGTATGTGTATATATGTATATATATGAAACTCTGATTCCAAAAACTTTCATAGTTGAATTGAAGATCATCCAAACTCTAATTCCAAAAACTTATAGTGAAACTGAATCCTCGGTGAGATGTACCCAAAGACATCAAAAGGGATTCGATATGGATCTAAATGAACCTAGATTGAGCACTTGAAACAAGATAAAAACTTCATCACACTAATAATGATGATATTAAATATTATGATTTATAAAATGTGGAGATTGGAAGATTGCAAAGATCGTTTCAATCTACCATAATATATCACTAATCCTAACTCAAAGTTATAAAAAAATTGTCCTTCGTATAACCAGAGAATACTCTAAAAGTAGCTTTTTAGCATAAAAATTAATTTTTTTACTAGAAAACTGATTTAAAATCATTTATTAAATGATAATTATATATAAATATTCAATTAAATATGTTTGATTTTTAGATATACAAAATACATCTAATCAAATATATAGCTAATGAGCTTTAGGTACGTACTCGTGATGATGAAATTTAAAAAAGTTTCATTATATCATTCATCATTAGTATCAAATACTCCTGAGTAATTAAATAAATTTAATTTGATAGTCCTGAAAACTTTTTAATTTAATCACTTTGGTAATTAACTAATTATGTTTAATGTAAAGGTCAAATTAAATAAAGAGAATAATAATTTTTTTTCAATTGACTGAAATATATAAAAAACATATTTATGTGATTTTCTTAACATATAAATCATTAATTAATTAAGAAAATTGCATACATTTAAACCTTAAATAAATTCATAATATTATATATATAATGTTCTCTTACCATAAAATTAATAGTGTTATAATGTCCAGAAGAAATAATAAAATACTTAACTAAATTAGAATTTTCTAAAATAATAATTTATTTTATCCATTTGCATAATTCTCTTAAATAAATGATTTTCATTCTTAATCACAAAGAAAACTAAGCATACACTAAAATCAATGTTCTTTTAAGTGGAAAACCATAACTTTTATGTATCAATATTTTCTTGGAATCATCATTTCATAATATCTATTATGTATGAATATAAGATAAATAAACATAATTCATCAAATAGAAAGATAATATTAATACAAGGAAATAATCTTTAATGTAAAATCACAAGTTCTTAAACTTGACTCTAATACCATTTATAAGAAATTTGTGGATTCATAGAAAATATCTTATAATTAAAATATAGCAACATACATTGATTTGGTGTAGATTTGTTCATGAATGACATTAAGGCTTCGTTTGGGACAGCTTTCTTATTGCTTCTTAAAGCTGCTTTCTAGTATAACAAATAATTTTTTTATACTAGAAAGCAGCTTTAAGAAGCAATAAGAAACCCGTCTCAAACTAAGCCTAAATTTGAGAAATATAGGGTTTCTCTTCCTTCACCCTCACTTTCTTTTCTCTGGTGGTAATTATTCATATAGAGAGATAATAACTATTTTAAAAGGTTAGAAAGATGATTGGTAGTTATATTCATGAAGAACACTTTTTTTTTATAAAATGGTCCATTAAAGTTTGATCAAACTCTCTCTTGACCAATATGATTTAAGCATTTAATTAATTATTAAATAATGAATTGAATAATCATTAATATGAGCCACATTTCGTAATTAATTTCTTAATTAATTCTTATAGTATGCACTTGAGCAGAGTATGCACAAGGGTTTGGGGTCATCATTCTAATCCGATATTTTTCTCATAGCACCACCACACCATTCAGCAGCAATGGTGGTATTGCATTTGCTCGAGTTGAAAGACTTTAGGTGGAGATGCAAATACTTCAAAGTGAGGTGAGGTAATTCATACAAAATTATCGAGGATAACATCTACCACACTAGGAAACTCGATTTTAATAGGCAAAATTAAAAAAAATAGATATGTTCATTCATAGAATAGCTTATCGTCTTAATATTTACTTTTGAATTATCTATTATTAATTGGGAGACCATGATCAATTTTTGCATAATAGACATCCAAAGTGTAGAAGAAAATGAGAAATATAAATGGAATGCACGATCTTCTCTTATGTATGGCTGACATTTTATTTTGAAATGTTATTAGAATTTTGATTTTATATTCAATAATATAGATTTTATTATAAAAATTGTTGCAAAGTTTGATTTTGTTACTTTATGTCCAATATTGCTCGTTTATTCATCAAACTCTCACCAACATTTATTTAATTTTGTCACTTGACCTGAGTTAATATTGTCATAATCATCTATTACTTTACTAATATATTTCTTTTACCATGATGTTTTACATGTTATATGAAATTGCTTTTTGGCTCGAGCTATTATTAGCATTCCCTCATGATTGATGCATGTCTTCGAGGGTTGATTTAATTATATATTTTGGAGAAGGATCATTTAATTTTTTTAGCAATAAAATGCAACAGATATCAATAGCTATATGAATTTCTTTTGTAGAAGTACATATATTTTGATCATTGCTGTTAAAATCTATTAAATGTTGCATTATCCTATTTGATTGTTTTGTTATAGTAGATAGAATGATAATATTGTATTATACTTCGATTTAACTGTTTGATTAACCATAATTTAAATATCTTTGTTTTTATTGTTATTGTTGCATCTTTTTTTCCAACAAAGGAGCTTGGTTCACTTAAGCTTTATTTGGGATGGCTTTCATACTGATTCTTAAAACAGTTTTTTAGTACAAAAGTTAAAAGTTTTGTACTTGAAAGCTGTTTTAAGAAGCAGTAACAAAGCCGCCCCAAACAAAGTCTTAGATTCCTAGTTGTCGTTCTGTGTCCCATGAAAACTCTCATCAATACCAACATACATATCCTTTTTTGGGAAGCTTGACATTATAAATTTCAAAATACAAAAACTTAATGAGAAAAATTATACGTGACATATATGTAGATCATGAATATGTGGTGTTTTCAATTATAAGTTATTTTTTGTTATGATTTATTTCCTTATAATAATAATAATTCCTACAAAATATTTTTTAAAATCATCAATGTTTGTCCCAATCCAAAGATAAAAAAGGTTGAGACATTTTAAAATAACAAAATTTGGTACAGCTTCTTTACTATTTTTTTAAAATAGTTTTGAAAGAGTAAAAAAATTATCCCAAACGAAGCTCAAGTCTCAACTTATAACATTGTATGAAGAAGCTTAATATGCAAGGTGTTAGCACCAAGTTGCTTAAGAAATTAAACAAGGAATATATTTTGTTAGATTTCATTTAGTTTAAGAAAGCTTCAGTCAATTTAGGCTCCGTTGGAGATTTTTTTAAAATAATTTTTAGTAAAAAATTAAAAATTTTGAATTAAAAAGTTAATTTAAGAATTAGTAAAAAAGTTGTCCCATACAAAATCTTAATGGTAAAAAAAAATCATACATTTGCCTGGAGAAGTTAGCATAGCTTGCTGAAAAATTTGCAGAGCTTTCAACCACAAAATTAAAAATCAACAAATCGTCATGACAAAACATAGCATGTCCAAGTTACCAATCTTGAGATCTTTTACACAGTAAAAATTGTAATGGTAGAAGAATAGGGGGTATGAACTAATTTGGTAATATTCCATGATGCGAAAACTAACAGTTCTGAGTTCCCTACTAATCTGATCAAAGCTTTCATCATGCTAGCGGTGAATATGGCGGTCCGGCTACATAATACGGCGGCCCATAATGATCAACACCATAGCGCGCAGATGCAAAGGGCTGAAGAGAGGAAGACGGCAGTTGCACATAAATGTCCGGCTTCATCTCAGTCTTGAAGCTGCAGAACGTCAAGCCATCAACGCTGTATCCAAAGCGATTTTCAAATCCAGAGGGAGAAGCCAGTAATAAGCGCTTATCACCAAAGCTGTTGTTGCCCGAAGACTGCGGAAGCAGACATTGGTAGGCTTGCTGCATTGCTAGCAATTGATTAGCTCGCTCGGCAACAGCGCTTCTCAGTTGCATCAACTGACCGCGCAGCTCCTCCAGCTCTTCCAACCCCATCGACTCAACCTCCCCGTTCCGCCAGAAAGGCTTATCGGCACCAAGTTGTGGCGCCGTCAAGGCCTCATCGAGCGCAGCGCGCCTCATCTTCTCCTTCTCCAGAAAAGCGTTCAGCTGCGCGTAATCCTCGTTCAGCTTAATCGCTGCGGCCGCAACGAATGGCTCGCATAATGAGGGCAACGGCGGCTCGTCGGCGAGGAAGCGGTGGGCGACGGCGGCAACCGATGGATGGCCAAAAGAGAAGGCTTTTCCGGCGGGGGAGAAGACAACGATGCATATCTCTGCACCGCATAGAGTGGAGAGCTCGCTGGCTTTCTTGAAGAGCCCGTTGCGGCGTTTGGAGAAGCAGACTTGTCTCGCCTCCTCTTTCTTTATAGGCTTTATCTCTATCTTCTGACGCCCAATGCTCCGCTTTTTGTTCATCATGGTTACCTATTTGCTGAGCAAATAATACAGTAGATATACTTAGCTAGAATTACATACAAATCTAACAGTACAAACTAGTAGCATTTCAGACTATTTTGATTAGAAAAAAACAATGAAAATCATGAAAAAATGCAAAATCAGAACTCAAACTCAATCGAAAAGATAAAAACTTAATAGAAACCACCAGACTTTGATCCAAATCATTAAAATTAACTAAAAATTCGTTAGAAATTCATTTATAAATAAAAAAATAATGAAAAGTAAAACTAAATAAAAAATATGATTCATATATAGTAAAATCATCCAAACTATCAAAATTATAAAAATATAAAATTTGCATCTACAAGCAATTGATGGAAGATGGAAGCAGAATAAGGAGCAATGGATGAAGAAACAATCATGTTCTGATCCATACATATGAGCAAAAAGAAAGGTGCAGGCTTCACTTATGTTCCCCTCAATACCATTCTATTAAAGTAAACATCAACGATCAACAAAGCCTAACACATAGAACAAAGTAGAATAATCATTCATGGGAATCACAACATTCTAATATTACATGAGTGGGAATTCTGGATGAAAATCCCGGCATAAAACATCAAGAAGTTTGTTCTTTTCAAACTAAAACTCAAAACCCCAAAGCATCCATGTAGCGGCATTCAACTCAAGACCAGAAGATTTTCTCAGAAAAAAAAATTTTTTTTTTTGAAGAATCTAGCACCTAACTCACTACTCATATCCAGAAGTGAATGTGGAGGGAAAGAAGTAGAAGAAGAAAGGGAAGAAGAAGAAGAAGAATGAGGAGAGAAGAAGGAAGAAGTTACCTACAGAAACAGGGAGCAAATCGGCCTCTAACAGGGCAGGAAGTCGAAGGCGTCGGGTCCGGCGAGGTCTCGCGGCAGTCTGGATTCGAGGACCCAGAGAGAGGCTGAAGGAGCTTGAATGCAAAAGCGCCGTCGCCTGTGCTTGTGCGAACCAGAGAAAAAAATCCCTCTTTTAGAGCCGCGAAAGGTATATCATTAATGCCGAAACTATGAAGCCCGCCACTCGTCGTCTTTTGAAAACATGCCATACATGCTCGCTCGATCATGGCCATAGACCGAACTTAATTAATAGATCATATATTTTTTATTTATGGTTAATAATCTTTTTTTTAATTTGAGTTTATGAAATATTTAAATCATTTAGGAGTTGGTAATTTGGAGAATTTGATTATTAAGGCTTAGTTTCAAACAATTTTCTTACTAATTCCTACATTAGTTTTCTTGCACAAAAAATTCTTTAAAAAAAAATTAAAAAAAAATGGTCAAAATTTATCCCAATTTTTTATTCAAATTATGATTGGAATTAGATTGATAATCTCATCGCTGTTTGTGGCATTATCTCATAGTTGATATGTCCATCCATTCATGGACATATCGAAGACAATTTCCCCATATATATATAGAAAATAAACTATATAATAAATAACTAAGAAAATTTATAATAATAATAATAATAACAAGAAATGCAACCATTTTATCTTTGATCCAACCAAGAAGAAAAAAAAAAACTTGCCACTATCGTATCTTTGATTTAGCTAGAGTCTCACCGCCCTTCATCGATCTTTGATCTGGGTTTAGGGAGACCTCTCGTAAATCGAGAAATTATTATGTGCACTTATTGAACAGTTTAGAGATGAATCATAATGTGTCATGTCATCCGGTACCGAGCGATACACAATAAAAAAATGACGTGCATGACACAACCCGGCGGGTCCGGGTCGGGTTTTCGTGTCGTGTCAAAAATTGACACCCCTACTTTCAATACTGTTAAATAGTAAAGGCATTACTTTGTTATTTATGAATTGGAAACAAATGAAAAATAAAAAATGAAATAAAAATTTTATGGCTTAAGCATGTGATGATAGGGAAATTATTTTGTGCAGACTCCAAACGTAACGGACTGTCAAGATTGCTACATATTTGTTGAGTGTTTATTATGTATATTAATTACTTAATAAACACGCAACAACTCAGCAAAATTTAACAAATACTTAATAAATACTCAACAAAATTTCACTAAATATTTATCCTCTGCGTTCGAAGTCCGCACATAATAATTAGATGAGGACATCTATGTTTGAATGAAGATTTTTATTGTGACAATTATTGGAGTTTTGTTTTATTAGAGAGCATCATATGAGAAAAAAATTTGTGCCATGAGCTGCTTACACAAATACTGTGAATTTGTGCCATTAAAGTTTCAATTTTATGTTTGTGAATAGAAATATATATTTTTTGATAAATATAAATTTCCAAAAATTATTGCAAATATGTCATATTTTTTGTTCACTTTATTTTTAAAATTTTAAGGAATTATGTTATAATTGCAATTTCATGTCATGCGCATATATTTTATAAATATATTAAAAAAATCATCATTCAAATTATTATAAATATCTTCATTAATAAATGCACCCATTTTCTTTTGAAAATTACATATAAAAGCTCCCGCGAAAAAGACACAAAGCTGCCCACATTAATTATTTCAATTAATTAATTTAAGAAAAACGCAATCTTCTTCCCCTGTGAATAGAAACTCGTCTTCTTCATCTCCTTCTCGTCAGAATTAAGACCATTTCGACTCGGTTGTCGGCTTGCACCCGGAAGTTCTCTCGCTAGATTTTGCATTTTCACGATAACCTACAATGAAAACGAGCTTGAATAGAGTTGAGCTCGAGCTTGAATTTTATGTTGTGAGTCGAGTTCGAGCTTACAGTTAGTAACCGACCTCAACTCGATAGTCGATCTCACTACTCGACTTAACCAGACTCATTTACACCCTTACATTGCCAGCGATCAATGGCTATCAAACATCAAACATTTGACGCTCGGAGATAGTCCCCCTTGACCATTTGAAGTTTATTAGCCACCCACGAGTCTTAGACTTCATTTCGGACAACTTTCTTGTTGTTTTTTATAGTAAATTTTTAGTTGAAAAAATTATTGAAAGTATCGAAAAAATAATAATCATAAGCTGTTCCAAACGAATCCTTAATAGTATTAGAATTTAGCATGGGAAAGCGTTATATAGAAATACAGGTTTTGCATTGTAGATTCTAATCGCTATCAAGAACATATATAACATAAAGAAATATGGACTGGCAGCCTAATCTTGTTTTATTTAATTTAAATATTTTTTAGAGAGCAGAATAGCTTAACTAAGGGGAAATAGTTTGATAAAAATATTCTCATTAAATTTTGACTATAATAAATTTATTTATAGATGAATATAATATATAAAAAAGTAATTAAAATATATATGAGTACAATTTAGTTGGGCTATAGCGGGCTTTCATTCACATCACTTTATAAAGTGAACTTAATTAATAGACCAAATATTTTTTGTTTATGGCTAACAATTATTTTTTAAAATTTGACTTTATGAACATTTTAAGCATTTAGGAGTTGCTAATTTGGAGAATTTGATTATTAAGGTTTCATTTTGCGCAATTTTCTTACTGCTTTCTACATCAACTTTTTTGTACAAAAAATCTTAAAAAAATAAAAAAAAGAAATGGTCAAAAGCTGCCCCAAATGATTTAGGCTTCATTTGAGATAGTTTTATTACTATTTTCTAAAGCAATATTTTAGTACAAAAGTTTTTAGTTTAAAAAATTTTTGTACTAAAAAGCTGATTTATAAAACAGTAAGAAAATTAATCCAAACGAAGCCTTAGATTCTAGATCTAGATCTTGCAATTTGGCTTCATAGTAAGTTGGAAATTTTAATTATAAGATAATTTTCTAGTACAAAATTTAAAAATTTTCAACTAAAAACTTGTTTTGAGAAACAATAAGAAAGTCGTCCCAAACGAAACCTAATTCCTTTCAAGTTGAATTTATATAATTTTCTCTCTTTACGTGTGGGGGAATATTTTGTGTCACATTAAAAATCCACTCTAACAATATTTGAATGAATTGGCTAAAATTCAAAATAAATTATTTTATATTTTTGGGGCTCGAAATTGATTGGAGTTGATTTTATTTTAACACAAAAATAAAGATTGCATTTCTGTCACTAATCAAAATTTTTTTGTAATATTTTAATTTAGTTGTTTACAAAACTAACTCTCAACTACCTTTATTTATAATATAAGTACTCAAATATTAGAAAGTATATAGACTAACACTCAACACATATTTTCATTTTCATTTTCATTAAATAATTCTTAAGTAGTTATTTGTGGCATGTGGCTATATGCTAATTTCAATAATATTTAAAATTTTTATGATATTTTTATAATTTCTAAAGAATTATAGAATAATTTAATGGATATTTAAGGTAGCATTTATATTATAATAATGTTACCTTCTATAAAATTACACCATTGTCTTCAAATATGATATGAAATGAATTTTTGTTTAAAAAATGATTATCTCATATGGAATAATAAAATGAAAATTTTATAAGCAATATTATACTGATTGATATAGCAAGATTTCTCTTTAATCATCAAAAATGTTTTTGGTTATGGGTTTATTTTTTTTCTATGAGCACAATAACCATAATTGATTACAAAACTTATTTAAAGTTGGCCTTCACTTAAGGGCGTCATCAAATTCGTGCTCACTCATTAAGAGTTAGTTACTCTATTATAATGTCCACTCACATCACATAAGGGGGTTAAGATGTTGAAAATGAACCCCGTTAATGCCCCATAAGTCCACCATCAAGGGTGTCACTTAGTGAACCACAATCCAATGAGTCAATGCCCGCAATTGCCAGATTTCATCTTCAAGACAAAGAAATTTAATGATGTACGTAGCTATAGCCATTGAGCCAAAGAGTATGCTGTGACATTTTACATTGAGCAATTTAACTAACAATGACTCATCTCTTGAGTTAACATGCTTAAGTTAGATGTGATTATTAAATTTGTTACTAATAGTTTTAGATGAACTCATCAAAGGTGTTCCTCATAGAATCAAGAGTGGCAGTGCATTGAGGGATACAAAAGTTTTAGATTTATCATATTGATAGAGGGATTGTCTTATTGAGTGAACCGAATTATATAAGAGGCATGTAGCATGACCATTTGTAGCCTAGAGGTAATGTAGATAATCGATAATAACTTAGAGTTACAGCATATATGATCGTTCCAATTATACAAGAATGATTATAGTTTCATCTAGAGAAAGAAAGGGATGCTACTGATCCAACATTCTTATACTTTGCTTATGGACTAAAGGAGATCAAATGCTGAATGATTATCTTTCACATATCTCCTGTGTTGTTGTACGTCTAGTCTTTATATTTATTTGATGTTGCTCTTGAAAATTTTGTTTTGACTTTTGACGTTGATTGTTTGGATATGCGGCACTCATTTTTGTCTTTTAAACTCGTAATTGTGTGCTAAAAAAAAAAAGCTCGAGGATTACTTGATATGAGTCTTATTTATTTCTATGGCATCATGAGGCCCATATGGTTAATAAGCATATTATTTTAATATCATCCCTCAAGCTGAGAGATCAATAGTGATTAGAAATCACCTTCTTAGGTGAAGAAGTTGACACCTAATAAGTATTACCATAGGATGATTGGGGTTGAAAATATGTCATTTTCAAGGTAGACAGGTGGAGGCATGCATGATGATATGAACCTTAGATGAGTGGGAACTAATCTAACAAAGTTAAAACTCTTTGTCATGATGTTCTATTTATTGCATACCACAAATTTTTTTTTCCCATCATTTATTTGCATCTTTCATGAAGAAGATCTATGGACTTATTATACTCATATTATCAATGTAACTTTGGATGTGGAACTTCACTAATATAGTTGCAAATGCTTTACGCAATCAAAGGCTAGAAAATTGGGTGTGGTGTTAATCCTTATACCATTCAAATAATTATACAAAACATAAATGTTCAAATTTCTAATAGATAAACAATTTTGGACGAGTAATGGTGCTCAACAATCCATTAGGTCAAAGGAGTAATTGTGACTTATTCCTTCTAGACTCTCAGTATAATGAGAGATTATTATGTGCGGAGATCAGATG